GGACAGAAGATTTCGTCGTATACTGTGACACATCAAATCAAGGATTGGGATGTGTGTTGATGCAAAGAGGAAAAGTTATCGCCTATGCATCACGACAACTTAAGGTGCATGAGAATAATTACACTACCCATGATCTTGAATTATAAGCTGTAGTTTTTGCACTAAAAATCTGGAGACATTACTTATACGGTACTAAGTGTACTATTTTTACCGACCACAAGAGTCTCCAGCACATCTTCAACCAAAAAGATCTTAATATGAGACAACGAAGATGGATCGAATTGTTGAATGATTATGAATGTGAGATTCGTTATCATCCCGGAAAGGCAAACGTGGTAGCAGATGCCTTGAGTCGGAAAGAATATATTAAACCCCGTTGGGTACAAGCATTAACTATAACTATCCATTCTAACTTTACCACACAAATTAGAGAAGCTCAACTTGAGGCTCTAAAAGAAGAAAACATTAAGAATGAAGCTTTGCGAGGAATGGAATAGCAACTTATACAAAAAGATGACGAAACGCGACGCTTTATGAACCGAATTTGGACGCCTAAGTTCGGTGGAGTCAGGGACTTGGTCTTAGAAGAAGCCCACAAGTCCAGATATTTCGTGCATCCAGGCTCTGACAAAATTTACTTAGATTTAAAAGTACAATATTGGTGGCCAAACATGAAGGCAGAAATTGCTACTTATGTGAGAAAATGCTTGACTTGTTCTAGAGTAAAGGTAGAGCATCAAAAGCCTTCAGGTTTACTTCGACATCCAGAAATACCTGAATGGAAATGGGAGCAGATATCAATGGACTTCATCACTAAGTTACCTAAAACTCCTAGTGGGTTCGACACTATTTGGGTAATAGTCGACAGATTGACTAAGTCCGCCAATTTCTTACCAATTAAGGAGAACGACAATATGGAGAAGCTGACTAGAGTTTATCTTAAGGAAATTGTCAGATTGCATGGGGTTCCAAATTCTATTATTTCTGACCGAGATAGTAGATTCACTTCACGATTTTGGCAATCTCTACAAAAATCCTTAGGAACACGTCTAGATATGAGTACAGCTTACCATCCACAGACTGATGGTCAGAGTGAGAGAACCATTCAGACTTTAGAAGATATGCTCCGAGTGTGTGTAATAGACTTTGGAAATGCGTGGGATACTCATTTACCGTTAATTGAGTTTTCCTACAACAATAGTCATCACACCAGCATCAAGGCTGCACCGTTTGAGGCTCTTTATGGACGAAAATGTCGTTCCCCAATATTTTGGGTAGAAGTTGGAGATACGCAGATGGACAGAGAACGTATAGGCGATACCTTACATACTGGACCAGAAATAATCCATGAGACAACTGAAAAGATCGTGCAAATTAGGGATCGATTAAAGGCTGCACGTGATCGTCAAAAGAGCTATGATGACGTTAGACGTAAGCCTTTACAATTCCAAGTTGGAGATACGCAGATGGCCAGAGAACGTACAGGCGATACCTTACGTACTGGACCAGAAATAATCCATGAGACAACTGAAAAGATCGTGAAAATTAGGGATCGATTAAACGATGCACGTGATCGTCAAAAGAGTTATGCTGACGTTAGACGTAAGCCTTTAGAATTCTAAGTTGGAGATAGAGTAATGTTGAAGGTCTCTCCTTGGAAAGGCGTAATTCGATTCGGGAAACGAGGCAAACTAAACCCACGGTATATAGGACCTTTTGAAATTCTAGCAAGAATTGGTTCTGTCGCATACCAACTCAAGTTGCCTCAAGAACTAAGTAATGTGCATGATGTTTTTCACGCATCAAATCTCAAAAGATGTCTATCCGATGACACCCTTGTTATACCTCTCGACGAGATACAAGTCAATACAAAATTCAACTTTGTAGAAGAACCTGTCGAGATCATGGATCGAGAAGTCAAACGATTAAAGCAAAGTCGTATTCCCAGAGTGAAAGTTCGATGGAACTCTTTACGAGGATGCGAATTTACTTGGGAACATGAAGATCAGATGAAAGAAAAATACCCCCAACTGTTTGACAAAACCCCATCCATAAGATAAATTTCGGGACGAAATTATTCTAACGGGGGGAGAATGTAACACTAGTCAAAATAGGTCAATAGACAATCACATGTGATTATGCCAATCATGTAATGTGATTTTGTTAAACTAGTAATGTGATAAGAGTGATATGTAGTTCATGATAAATTCTAATACAAATATGAACTTTCTTTATGATACAGCTCAAAGTATACGTCCACACGATTCCAAAATATAGAGAACGTCTAAATCTGACTTCGCGTGAAGAAGTTATGATAAACCGAACACTATAAATCTATATAATAATAGGATTTTAAAATAGATTTAGAATTATCTATTGGATTATAAAATAGAGTTGTAGTACTTGTAAATACCTACGCGTGCATATAAAGAACGTCAAAAACAGAGTTCGTATGTGAAGGTTACGACCTTCCGAAGATTCAGCTGTCAGAAACCCTAATCTGACTGAGCTCACGACGTGAGCACAGAAACGCACGACGTGAGGAGTCATTTTGCCACATTTCGGATCTAGAAGGTGTGTGAGGAGGCTACGAAGGGATAAGTTCTAAGCTCACAACGTGAGCAAGGATATCTCACGACGTGAGGAGTCACATGGCCACCTTCCGACACTAGGGACGCAAATGGAAAGTCTACGGGGTGACCAACCATGGCTCACAATGTGAGACTATATGGCTCACGACGTGAGAGGCCAAAAATCTTCCTATAAACAGCAGGTCTGACCTTGACACTTCCTTACACCATTTCCCTTTCTCCTCTCTCATTTCCTGAAGCCCTCTTGCATCCCCAGCCCCGACGACCTCGTACCGCTCACCGTTTCTGCTTAGATTACATAAAATCACGCTACTAGGGCGAGTTTCATGGCTCCACTTTCTAATATTTTCGGGGGGAAACGCATGCTAAATATTGTATATACGTTATTATTATGTCTATATGATAATATATTAGTATCAACATAGATGGTTATAATAACCGGGATATAGTTGTTCTAAATATAATATTTTGAATATATACAACTATTATCAACTTGTTAGCATGTTCTGGTACTAATGTAGATCTTGAGTTATACTTAGGATTCTATATATATGTTGTGTGCGATATAGTTCCGAATTTATATTCGGAAGTTCTATATTTTAAAAAGTATGTTGTTATTATTGGTTTTATGTTAAGATAAAACTTGGTATGCTATAGGTTGCTATTGTTGGTTTTATGACAAGATAAAACTTGGTATGTTATGTATTGTTATTGTTGGTTTTTATATTAAGATAAAACCTGGTTTTTCCTCAAGTCATAGCTGTTGTACTGCCTAAAGTAATATGAACTTAGGATTAATGTTTAAAGGCATAGTCTAATAACTTAGGGTTTTAGACATGGAAATGCTTTTGTTGTTAGAGCTATAGGAAGCCGTCGGAGTCTAGATGAGTAAATGTATTCATCAACTAAGATTGGGGATCTTAGCGGAAATCCTCTGAACTGTAACCGTTAATCCCGTGTGAGCGAGGAAGTCGTGTATAATTAGTATACGGGTTGACCACCCCACTTGTGATTGTTAGCTACAGTCAACCATAAGCGAGTGACGAACTATCCTTTTACTTGTTATTGTTCCGGCGTCGAAGAAGCGTGCAGTATTGTTTCTCATGGTAAATCATGAGTGTTGTTTATCATGGTAAATCATGAGTGTGTTTTATCATAGGTATTATGTCATAGCAGCGGTTACAGGCTCATGGTAGCAAATGGTTAGAAACATTATACTTTGTCGTATACAAGTATTAATGTTAAGTATAAGTTTCCCCCTACTTATACCCTAGGTTCAAGGAACGTTTAGGTATAACACTTATTTGATAAGTAAACTATTATACCTAATATATATACTAAATGTTGGAGCGTCAAAATGATACTTTCAAAAACTAAACTTTTGAACTTAGGAAAAGTATTATTTTAATATGGAGTCAAAACCTGTGAACTCACGAAATTTATGTTGACGTATTTTAAAATGCATGTGTTTTCAGGAACTTGAAAAGCTGGTACGTATTCGAACATGAGAAGTTTTACTATTACCTTTCTGTTCATTAAGAAGTATGTCATAGTCGGATATTATGTAATAAGTACTAGGAAAACAATAATGTAACTTTCAATCATCAATAAATGTATGTATTTTCTTTAGTACTGTTCAATGTATGTTATATAACTGTGATACGAAGAATGACGTTACACCACCCGGTGTTTCCATTGATGGCTGGGGGTGTGACACATTTCTCTTCCGACAGTAGTCTTTATAATCTACACAGGTTAGTTTTTCAAACTCGATTTATGTTGTCAAATTTCGATTTTATCTATTGTCCTCGATTTAAGTTGTTAATCAACTGATTTGTGATGAACTGATGATGAAGTATATACTCAATTTTTCTGTTAAACATGGAAGACACTAGTCTGTTCACAAATCGATTCTTTTGGTAATCATTAATCTTTATAACTTGTTTCTAGTACTTTGGCCCGATTCTTTGATCTTTACCTACAAAATATGAAACTTGGGTAACATTCGCACCTGTTGCTTCACATAGAGCTGAGATTGAGTTTACAGAAGAGGTTCTTTGTGCTAAAAAAGCATTAGCAGCGAGTTTGGAAAGCTCAACAGACCAAAGATTCGTACAGAGCCTGTTGATATGAATATGGTGTTAATGTGATTTTTTTAATGATATGTGAGTGAGTATTTTTAATGTGTTAATGTGATTTTTTAATGTGTTAAACTGATATGAATATGGTGTTAATGTGATGATATACTCAATATTAGATGAAGTGATGATAAACTGATATTATAACAGTTGACAATCAATGGCATCTAATGTTTCGACTACATCTGTTGGATCAACCGCCACTGGTGCACATAAACGTAATTCAGATGATGTTGGTTAGGAATATGGTGTTATCCTGGAGAAAAGCAACATGGATAGATTAAAATGTGCCTTGTGTGGAAAAGTGTTTGGTGGGGGGATTTTTAGGATGAAACAACATATTGCTCATGTGATGGGGAATGTATCTTCATGTCTAAAGTCTACAAAAGATGATCAATTGAAATGTATAAATTATCTTAACGAAGGGAAGTTAAAAAAGAAAGCTAAAAAAGTTCATATTGAAGACTTAAGGGTAGAGGTGACACAAGAATTGCATGATAGCGTGGATGAAGTAGAAAATTCTTTGGGGTCGAAGGCACCAAATGTTATAGGCCCCATGGATAACTTCGCAAACATAATAAACCCCGAAGAAGTTGTGAAGGCGGGAAAGGGCAAAAATGTTGATCTTAACAATATTGTCCGGAAAGAAAGAATATTAGCGGTCCATAAATTTATTAGTAGGTGGGCATGTGAGAGTGCGATTCCTTTTCATGCCTTTGAAAGGGATAGCTTCAAAATGATGCCGGAGGTTATTGGCCAATTTGGAACCGGGCTTCCATGTCCAACTAGATATGCTTTGAGTGACCCACTTCTAAAGCTTGAAGTTGAAAGAACATAAAATTTGTTGAAAAAAAAAACGAAAAAGAATGGAAAGAGGATGGATGCTCGATTATGATGGATGCTTGGTCCGATCGAAAGAGGTGAAGCATTATGAATTTATGTGTTAATTTGAAGATGGGTACCATTTTTTTATCTTCAAAAGAATGTTCCGGTGACGCACATACAAGCCAACACATATATGAGTATGTGGAATCTTGTATTCAACAAGTTGGTCCCGAGAATGTTGTTCAAGTTGTGACCGATAATGCCACGAATAACATGGGGGCGGCGAAGTTGCTAAAAGAGAAAAGACCATCTATTTTTTGGACATCATGTGTGACACATACCATTAACCTTATGCTTGAAGGTATTTACATTATTTTATTTATTTATTGTATTTATTATTTTATTTGTGGGAAAATGACACAAATGCCCTACAAACTTTCTAGGGTTTACCCGTTGAGTCCCTAAAGTTTTTGTCGGACTTTATGGGTCCCTAAACTAGGATATGACCTGCTCTTTTGGTCTCTGTCAACCTGTAATAGCCGGTTCAGTGACCTTTTAGACCAAAAAAACTCACATTGTGCCCCTATAAAGCCAAAAAAATAAGTTCGGGGGATCAATACGAATTGAGTGTGAATTAGCTTTAGAAGAAAATGAGAGTTTTTTTTTATACGAATTGATCCCCAAACTTATTTTTTTGGCTTTATAAGGGCACAATGTGAGTTTTTTTTGGTCTAAAAGGTCACTGAACCAGCTATTACAGGTTGACAGGGACTAAAAGAGCATATCATATCCTAGTTTAGAGACTCATAATGCCCGAACAAAACTTTAGGGACTCAACGGGTAAACCCTAGAAAGTTCGTAGGGCATTTGTGTCATTTTCCCTTTATTTGTTTAGTGCTTTATTTAGTTTAAAAATGTTTAATTATATATTATAATTTTTTAGTTAATCATGTTTATTTTTCAAGGTATCGGAGCACTCCCAAGGTTTAAGAAAATCCTAGATCAAGCAAAGAAACTAACCATATTCATTTACGCTCAGCACAAAACCTTGGCGATGCTGAGAAGTTACACCAATAAAAGGGAAATTATCCGACCGGGAATCACGAGATTTGCTTCCGCCTTTCTAACATTACAAAGTTTGTGCAAAAAAAGGAGCAACTAAGACATATGTTCTCTAGAAACGAATGGGAGGAATGTAAATTTTCCAGTAAGCCTAAATGGATTGCCTCATATAAAACGGTGACAAGTGTCCAATTTTGGTCCGGTGTGACACAATGTTTAAAAGTGTTCTCTCCTTTGGTGAAAGTCCTTCGAATGGTTGATGCGGATTAGAAGCCCTCAATGGGTTTTGTTTACGGGGAGATTAAAGCTGCAAAAGAAGAAATTATCAAATCTTTGGGTGGTAACGAGAAACACTACAAGCCTATTATAGATATCATAAACACAAAGATGAAAGGTCGGCTAGATTCAACTTTACATTTAACATCTTATCTTTTGAATCCGTATTACCATTATAATGATGCACAACTCCAATTTGTTCCCGATGTAATGGATGCGGTTCTTGATTTTTTTGATACATTATTTCTTGGAGATTTAGAGATGCAAAGGCAAGTCGTAACTATTGACTTGCCAAAGTACAAAAAAAAGTTGATAGATTTGGTTCCGATCTTGCAATTAAACATTGTAAGGTGAATGATGCTAACTTTGATCAGGGTAATTCGTTTTCCTTTTAGTTGTCTATTTATCTATTTTATAAAATTTTGATATTTATCGATTAATAATGTATTTTTGTTTCAAAATCGTAGCTAGTTGATGGGGACTATTTGGTGGCACAACTCCTCGTTTGACAAAGATTACAATGAGGATTCTTTCTTTAACTAGTAGTTTATCGGGTTGTGAAAGGAATTGGAGCACGTTTGAAGGGGGTAGTAATCTAAAGCATTAAATTTATCTTTTATAAAATTTAAATATTAAGCACGTTTAAACTCTTTGTTGTGTTTAAATTTGTAGGTACATACAAAGAAACGACTTAGATTGGAGACAAGCAAATTGAACAATGTTGTTTATGTTCAATTCAATGCTAATTTAATGGAGAAAAACAAAAAGAGAAAATATAGAAACATGGATGGGAGAACCCCTCTCTAAAATTACATCATATTACTCCAAAACATGCTACATGCATATTTATAAACAATATTTTACATTGATAGTTTAATTACAAAAGACTGGATACAAACCGACTAAGTTTCAGTATATTACAGAACTACCCAGGAATTTATAATTTTATACATACACGATCACTAAAAACAAAAGTAATATTATTAACTATTCTTAATCTTCCAACAGTATGTGTCTATACTGGATCCTTATTACTTGCATTAGTTAAACACTGAGAGGGATAAGTGGTGACACTTAGTGAGTTCAAAAATAGATACCATATAATGTTATGCCATATATATACCAATATGATAGAAGCAAAGAGGAACAAAGAACAACAAAGGCAGATGAGTATCATATATCATGCTTTCCATATCAACAAATAATATGATTCAAAGATTTACAATCAATGAGATACAACAATTTCAAGTTGTTATACATCAATAAGACTTTAGCCCAGGTGGCACAGAAAATAACCTATTTCTGAATAAACATTTTGCTAGAATTTACAGGCTTTCAGCCCTATCCAGCATTCTGCCAGTGCCAAAATAATGCTTACTCATACACTTCATGGTCAAAGGCTACATACCAGTACCTAAGTGATGCTTAGTCATTCACTTCAAGTCAAAGGAATAACACATTTTCATAAAAACACGAGAAAACATATTGAACATATACCATATAACATACAATTGTTCCAATAATTTGAACTCATAGTGAAATAACCGGAGGTTAAAATAGTAATTTGGGCAGCATTTCATTTCTGTATCTAACTTTCTTCGATGAAAACCGGGAGCTTTGTTGAAAATCAGGCCTTGCGAGGGTTGACCTTCAAACCGAAAAGATAAATTTCTCGGGGTCTTCGGGCACTTCGGGACGTTTTTCGGGTGTTAGGTATGATCCCGGGGCTTTGGGGGTTGTAAAATAGCTAAAAAGAGGGTTTAGGGGTGAAAAATGTGAAAATTTGTAACATTAGTCGGGAGGGTTCGCACCTCCCTATATATAGTTGCGAAGGTTCAAGAGAAGGGAAGAAGGAAGAAGCACGTGGCTCGCATGCGAGGGGCCACGTGGCTCGCTTCGGATGCCTCCACCACGAAGACATGCGTCGATCTCGGACTGGGCCACACATCAGATGAGTCAGTAGCTTCGGACACGGGGCAGCATGCGAAGATCCCGCTGACGTGGCTGATTCTAGGCCTTGCATGCATGCGAAAATTCTCGGATTTTGTGCCCTAATCTTCAAAAATTCATATCTTTTGCATACGAGCTCCGTTTTTGACGTTCTTTATATGCACGCGTAGGCGACAATATACTCTACAACTTTCATTTAGACTCCGTCAGCTAACGTTGAATTTATTTTTAATATTATTATTTTTAACAGACCGGGACAGGAAAATATGTAAAAAAATTCATAACTTCTTCATCTGATGTCCGTTTTTGTCTGTGTTTTTACCGTTGTATTACTATTGACGAGACCTTCGATTCTCGTTTAGGTTGCATCGGCTAAAAATCACTTGATCTTTATTTCGAGTTTTTAGCTGTATATTGGTGTACTGAAACTTCGAAAAATCATAACTTCCTCATACGAAGTCAGATTAGGACGTTTTTTTATGAACTTCTCGGTTTAACGAATACTACGACTTTCATTTAGATCACTAAATCTAAAAAGTAGTTTATCGAAAACTCACTTTTTACGCTAAATAGTGTTTGCCGGTTTTGTCGTAGATCTTCGATTGGTCATAGCTTCTTCGTTATAACTCGGATTTCGATGAGGTTTTCGCCTAAATGTTTCTAACGAGATAATCTACAACTTTCAATAAAATTATTTTTATTTATTTCCAACTTTATATTTTCGTTAATTTCGATAATTGAGTTTTGATTGGAATCTCATAGTTTTACTTTAATTCTTGTAAAAACTATCTTGTTAGAACTCAACGCTCAAAAACATATAATATTATTCATTTTAAGCTAATAAGCTTTACAAAACACGATAATCGAACAAGGTTATTAACGTGTATGTTACAAATACCTCCTCCTTTTGAGGATTTCGTCCCCGAAATCAAAACGATTAAAACAAATGGGGATATTTTGTTCTTATCTCGCTCTTATTTTCCCAAGTATAATTTGGGTCTCGATGATGTTTCCAATTGACAAGCATCAACTCCACTTCTTTATTACGTAGATTAGTCATTCTTTCGTTTACGATCTCTTCAAGATCCTCTACATATGTTAACTTATTATCCATCTTCATCTCGGATAATGAAACTATTTCATCATATATGCTCAAACATTTACGCAGATAACTTACATGAAACACATCATGAATATCTGCCAAATCTTTGGGCAATTTCAAGCAGTATGCTTGTTTACCAATTCTCTGGATGATTTTGAAAGGACCAACAATTCTAGGACTTAGTTTTACTTTCTTCCCAAATCACATAATTCCTTTCCATGAGGATACCTTCAGCATTACGAAATCACCCAACTGGAATTTTATGGGCCGCCTCCTCTTTTCTGCATAGGACTTCTGTCGATCCTGGGCCGCTTTTATTATTTCTTGTACAATCTGAATCTTATCAGTGGTGTCTTGAATCATTTTAGGGCTACTAAGGACTTTCTGTCCTACATCATGCCAACATAATGGAGTATGACATTTACGCTTATATAGTGCTTCATATACCTTCAGTATATTTTCTACTGTTTGGATTGTTCTTTTCTTCTGACCATCTGTCTGGGGATGATAAGCTGTGCTGAGAGCAACTTGAGATCTCAATTCACGTTGCATACTCGTCCAAAAGTGAGAAGTGAAGCGAGTATCACGATTGGAAATAATCTTTAGTGGCACACCATGTCTTGTGACAATTTCATCCAAGTATACTTGTGCGTATTTCTCCATCGGAGCTGTTTCACACATGGCAAGAAAATGTGCACTCTTAGTCAACCGGTCCATAATTACCCAAATGCTATCATTCTATATAGCAGTATTTGGCAATTGGAACAACATCAGACATAAGATCAGTTCGGAATTCTACTTGCCTATCCGGAGGTAGTTTAGGCAAAATGTCGGGGAAAAATATCAGGATTTTCATTATTATCGGGAACATCATTTACAGTTTTTTCCCTCTTTTGAGATATAAACTGTATAAGCCGGATACGTAGAATATCCCTTCGATATAAATTTACGAGTTTTTAAGAAAGAAATTATTATTTTCACCGTAGACATAAATAGAATCCTCCCATTCGATAGGGATGCATACCATCTTTTCGTAGCACAAGAGTTCTGCATGGTTCTTTGACAATCAATCCATGCCGAGAATAATATCAAAGTTGGGTAAGGAGATAGGAATTAGGTTTAGCAAGAAAATTATAATCTTTAATTCCTATGACACAATTTCCTTAGACTTCATCGACAAGTAATGATATACTTCCTATGGTATCTACATGAGATGATTGGACGAATGCGTAACAAGTAATTTGAAAAGAATACGTGAATTCTCGAGACACAAAAGAATCTGAGGCATCAGAATCAAATAAGATGTGAGCAGGTCTAGAATTTGACGAGAAAAGTACCAGTCACAACATTCGGGTCCTAACGTACCTCCTCTGTGGTTATCTAAAATGTACGACTTTTAGCTTTTGGTTTGCCAAATGATTGTCAAATTCTTCTAACTTCTTAATTAATAGCGGTGCTCAAACTTTCACTTGCTCTTCATTTCTCTATTATGACTTCAGTTCAAATTTCCGAGTTAAAAACTCAATTCTCATTGCAGAATTCTGCTCCTTTTTCGTTTATAGACTCACCCCAAGATAAGGTCTTAACTTTTGCTACAACAATAACTCGAATGGTCATATTCTAATGACCTTTTATTTTATAACACAAAAGACACATAACGAACCATACTCTTGTGTTAGAATCAGATCGAACAGATCGAGCTGATGGAATAGTGAAAACAAAGACAGTTTGATCAACACGTGGATGCTTCGGAACAGAAAGAGTGGCACCACGTATTTCTAAGTCATGATCACGCTTTCGTGCATATTCAACGACTTTGTCGAATGATAGAATATTTCGATTAATTACGAATTCACGGATTTCATACCGTAATCCTTCCATGAATAACTAAATTTTCATCGTCTTCATAACAGGTAGCATCTCTGGCTAATGGTTGCTTAATCCTTTAATGAAGATCGTTATATTTGTATCGACTACCTTGACCATCTCCTTCTTCAATTCTCTTACTGAAATTTCGTCACTACACGGGACATGGTTCTCTGAACCAATCAATTCACTTCGCAGATTTATTTTAATCGAAGTCGATTCTTTATGACCACGAAGGTCTGATTGAATATCATCTTCTTAGTCATCACCGAAACGAAAGTAATGACAGAAACAAACAAAACAATATCAACTACGAGTACCTTAGTAACCTTGTGACTTTTCCTGATTCAAGCGTGAGTCCTGTGCTTCCGGTAGTATAGGCGTCTACTACCATTCACACCTACTCATACTCGTTCCAAGAATTATCTCGCAGTCCCCAAGTCACTATACCAAGAATTTTACAAAGGAACTTATCACACATGAATGTGTTCAAACAAATACATACAATAATTTCTTCTAGACTCAATTAAGGATTTCGCGTTTCTATCAAACATATCTTGGATTTCTTATACTCGTGTTCTAGGATTCTGCTCATGCATATGCTCGATCTAGCATATTCTAATACTTTTTCATAGGTCGATAGAAATTTTACTTCCAATTCTTCATATAAATTCTTTCTCGGGTAGTGTCTACTCTACAAGACACACTATACCAGAATTTACTCTAGCAGCATGGAGACAAACGGTCTCCAACTACATGCATCATCTTCTAACTCATGCAAACCATCATGCACATTT